CCAAAGTCGCTATCTGGAAGACAGACGTTTGAGATATGGACTTCTTGGGCTAATTTGGCTGAAATGGGACCTATGTTGGGCCAGTTTCAGACAATGTTCAAGCACCAATTTTTGGTGTTTCGGACTCCAAAGTGGCTATCAGGAAGACAGACGTTTCAGATATGGACTTTTGGGGCAAATTTGGCTGAAATGGGACCTATGTTAGGCTATGCTAGGTGCATGTTGGTGCCACCTCCAGCTTATGTTAAGCCCATCTTAGGCTATCTTAGGCTATGTTGGGCCAGGCCAAATGGAACCTATGTGCAGCAGTTGCCAGGCCAAATGGAACCTATGTCCAGACCTAACACATAGTCCAACCCTTCCGTGCGGGCGGTTGCCGTCGCGAAGCGACGCGAATTAGCAGTATAAGGGAAAGGTAAGTTTAGACATGAAAGCCAGATGCGGCTGAAAGTCAACTTTGGAAGCTGGAGATCATGTCAAGGTGATGAGCAAGAAAGCAATCACTGATGGACAACTGGCGGAATTGTTCAAGAAAGAGAGCTTAAACTAGCCACCTTGCTAATTGTGGTGTTAGAATTGGCCATGCCACTGGATATGTAACAATCGAGGGAGCACAAAATAGAACAAGTGAACAAACTCTTAATGGCGCTTCATATTTAGGTGGGGATGCTGCAAGCTTAGGACAGACTAATTTACAAAATAATGTGACACTGCGATGGGACCAACAGTAACAGGAACAAAAAATGATTAAGGACGTGCAGTGGCTTTAATAATGAAGTCTTGCTTACTTGAGGCAACCCCTTGATGGATAACAGTAAGTATATCTTAACAATAAAAGCAATTAAGAAAGACAGCTTTGGTAATGAAGACTGCATGCTTGGAAAGGAACAAACAGCATATCACGACAAACATTGTGCAACTGATCCAAGTAGAACATTGAAGCTTCAATTGTAGCGTCAGGATCAATACCACTAAAAACTAGAAACTAATGAAGAGAAGAGACAGCAATCTTTGGAAATGCTGCACTCTAAGAAGATCAAAAAGTTCCAAGCCATAAACTTTACAGCACTACAAGATTGACTATGATGAAGACACTGAAAGGTATTCATGGCACTATGAACCACTCAAACTTACTCATGATGCTATATCTAATTTCTCAAACTGTTAAGATCATGTTCAGGAACATGTAGAGTGTTGGAAGAGATCCTCAACAACTTGGCTATGAAGTTGTATCACTTGATCTGAAGCCTGCAAGCACCAATGAGGGTGTTTTGAATGGCGCACAGCAAATAGACACTTTGATGGCTTTTGGGCATGCACTGCACACGGTGTAGCAAAAAACACAGTCGTTGGAAAACTAGATTTGGCAAGCAGCACAGTGAAAAAGACTATCGAAACTATCAAGTATGTTGAGCAATGACTGTGTTTCATGACTGGACGTTTGAAGAAGCAAGGAACTAAATAGTCTAAAACACAAAACATTTTGTGTAGTGTAGCCATGCTTCTGGGATCCTGGATAATCCTTCCTCCCCATGTTTGGCATAACCATCGCCCCATTACTTGGTAGTCTTTGAGCTGTTTTTTTGCGTTCAATCCAGTTGACATAGTGGCCTAGGTGTCCTAGTTGTTATGTTTGACTATATATACCTTTTTGGCTATGTGGGGCCTTGAAGACTCTGTCACCCGCCATTTTCTTAAAGGGTTGGGAGTAGTATACTTGAGGCCGGGGGTTGGTGACGAAAGCGGCCTGAAAACGGATGGAACAAGAGGTGTGGATGCGCGGCATGATGTGAAACATAAGCGTTCTTGTTCCTAGTAGCTTCTTGTTACTACTAGTAAGGCACTTGTTACTAGAAGCGATGCGCTTGTTCCTAGTAGCTTCTTGTTCCTAGTAGTAAGGCCAGGAGCCCCTAGTAGCGTCCTTGCTCCTAGTAGCGATGCCCTTTGCTCCTAGTAGCGTCCTTGCTCCTAGTAATCCCAAACGGATGCTATGAGAACTATTATGCTCCAATCTGACACGGTCTAGCACGGTAACCCAATTCCAACGACTTGCTAAAGCAAGAGTAACTCCAACTAGCTGAAGCACGTGATGCCCTTGAGCTACTAGTAGCGTCCTTGTTACTAGTAGTAAGGCTAGGAGCTCCAATCGTAGCGTCCTTGCTCCTAGTAGCGATGCCCTTGTTCCTAGTAGTTTCTTGTTACTAGCGCATGGATGTTGAATGTAAAGTGTGTGGACAGTGTGTGGACGTAGACTGAAGAAATGAAGATGGGCAAGGCATGGGAGAGGTAAGAGGCATAGGGAATATCCAATGCAAGGTGAAGATGATGTGGATAGTGTACGTGTTGTGACGGAAGATGAATAGAAACAATGTTGGAAGTGTATATAGGTGTTGGCAAGGTTTGGACTTGTTAAGGCGCGAGAACTCACGAGGTTCTAACGGGTGTTAGGTTGAACCCCACTTGGAATGTATGCCTTGATAGGAAGCAAACATGGGCAGGAAGCGATCCTAGAAAGAGAGATGAACAGGAATAATGAAAGATAAATGAATAGGAGTGTTCAGAAATGAAGATTAAGTTTACAAAGAAGAATCAAGCGTATAGTCAAATTGAAATCGATTGTGTGGGTGTAGTTAAAACATGCAAGTCGGGGAGGCCTGAGAAGACTAAAAGGCATATGATGGGGGTTGGTGATGGAAAATGGGAGGACCAGGTGACATGAGTGGGGTGTGGTGAAGAAGTCCGCAACTCTTTTGTATGTAATTATATACAGTATGTTTCTTGGGAGTTGGCAGTCGAGGTTGACTCAGTCCAGGTTGAATCTAACATCTCACGCTGACTCACGCACAAAGAAGTAGTTGAAGTTTGTCGGGAGTTGCCAGCTTTCTGCACTAAGTATTGCTCAAGATATCGAGCCTGTTTGACTCCAAACTGCCGAAAGATTAGCTCAAACAACAAGACAACGCAAAGGACATAGACCCCAAATAGCAACAAAAAGAATGGGCAGCACAATAGCAGGGGCACCAGCGTGCATGCTCCAAAGCACACACTGCAATTAATATCTGGCAGCACCCTCAGCGGCACCGATTTGTTCTACTATTGACTATTGCCTATTGCTGTCTTGTATTTTCTTATCAAGACCCCGCCGCGAAGGTACAAGATTCATTCATGCCACCACGCATGGCATGTCTTGCGGCAACAAAATTCGATTCTTGCTTGTATCTCTTCGGTCTGGCATCGAGTTCCCATCGAGATACCAAAGTATCGAATCGACCATATTCCGTCGCACTTTGGCGGTTGGCTTCCTTGCGCTCAAATGCATCACTGCCGCATAAGTGATTACGCACATGCTTCTTGTGAAACCTCCGTGTAAAGTGAATGCAACATCAATGAGCCGAGGCTCCAAACCGCGGACAGCCCCAGTACCAGCAGGCGGACAGAGTGCCAGGTCTCTTCAGGCCATTGGTGTCCACTGAACAAACGCCAAAACACAGCAAATGAGCTTTCTGAAACTGGACGACAGGTGGCCCGTGAGCAGAGAGATGTTAGGAAGACCATTGGGAACAAGGCGATGGTATGCGAAAATATGAGAGATAGAAGAGACTTGAAGGTGTGAGATAGGAAGAGGTGAGAGATAGGAAGGGAGTCCTGTTCTGTCGGTGTGAAGAGCTTGCATGCTTCGGCCTGCATTGTCGGTGGGCAAAAAATGATGTGTTCGCCCCCTCCCCATCACCCACCTCCTTTGTTTTTGAAGGTCACTGATGTTAAAAAGCCAACTTTTCTCGAAAAGTCGAAAAGTCCAATTGTATTTGAAGAGTCAAAAAGCACACATATGTTTTACTTTTAGCAGCATTGCAACAGGAAGGTTCGATAGAAAAGTGAAAGTCAAAAGTGATTCTTGTTTCGAAAGGTCGACAAATGAAACGTTTCTCAAAAAGTAAAAAAGAAATGTTGACTTTCTGCCAAAAGCTTACTTGCCTTCACGCTACTTGATGGCTTGCGAATGGCTAGATTAGAGAAACGGACACGAAACCCTCTTTACATACACGAAACCCTCTTTGGCATCGGTTTCCGGTGTCCAAACATGTCCAAACACCTCTGAAGGAAAGACTGGGCAGTTGACCACCTCAGGGTTCTAGGACTACATCTTCTAGCTGTTTTATTGTTTAGAACTCGAGCGTCGCCCTCTCCCAGAAAATGACAACAAGTACCCACCGTAGTATCCGTCGCCGAAACCGAAACCACTCGAGACTCGTGAAATCAACTCATGATTCTCCTGAAGAAACGAGGCAAGCAACAACTAATCCTTCCCCGTGTTGGTATTCGCAACTGTCCCACCAACGAAGCGATTGAAGTTCCCAGTGATCACCAAACCAACCATCAAAACAGGGAGAGGACATAGTGATGTAGCTCAATCCCATCCTGTCCAACCAAACTTAATACCATCCCATCCGGTTTCTATGTCTTTGCGCAGCCAGGTGGCATAGCCAGTTGCCTCCAGGCAAGCTCGGCTCGGCTCGGCGTCCAGTGCCGTGAAGTCGCCCAGCACACACCTCACACAAGAGGCCTGGCGTCGGTGTCGGCCGGCGCTCCGAACAAAGGAACACCCGCCCTAAAACTAGTAACAAGGGCGGGCATCGCTACTAGGAGCAAATAGCTACTAGTAGCTCCTGGCATTACTAGTAGTAAC